CCCCAAAACCCCAAAACCCCAAAACCCCAAAACCCCATGGGTAAAAATAGAGTTATTTTAACAGCAAAATGATTGAATTTAAATAATATAATTCATATTTAAAATGATATCAACTGCCTCACATGGAGGTGCATAAACTGATTCTCATTTAGAAAATTATTAGATGAAATAGCAAAACTATCAAAACTAGCAAACCTAGAGAAAAGAAGCTTGGACAATTGAGGATTTCAAAAATGTTCAATCTATTGGCAATGGTAAATTTGGAAAGGTCTTTAAAGCACTTGAACGCAATTCTAACAAATAAGTAGCTATCAAGATGGTGCATAAAAACTTACTGGAAAAATTTGACTTCTTTACTCAGATGAAAAAAGAACTAGAAATTCAATGGAGACTCAGACATCCGAATATCATTAGGCTGTTTGGGTATTTCTACGATGATAAATCTATCTATGTAGTCCTAGAATATGCTTAATACGGTAATCTATATCAAAAACTCAAAAAGGAAAAGTTCTTCAAAGAAGATAGAGCGAAGAATATCATAAGATAGATTGTAGACGCATTAATATACATGTAGGAGAGAAATGTTATCCACAGAGATATCAAGCCAGAGAATATACTTATTATGGATATTGATAAGATGCATGTAAAATTATGTGATTATGGTTGGTCTACTCATACAATTGATGAAAGGAGAATGACATTTTGTGGTACTGTAGACTATGTTGCTCCGGAACTTATTTATCAGGAGCCATATGATGAGAAAATAGATGTGTGGGCAGTAGGCATTCTGACCTATGAATTACTAACTGGAACAGCTCCATTCACAGGATAAAATGAGAAAGATACATATCAGAATATAACTAATCTCGACTTGTAAGCTAATCAAATTTATGAGAAGATCAGCTATGAAGCAAAGGACTTTATCGGCTAAATCCTGGTGAATATTCCATCTAAGAGAATGCAGCTAGAGGATATGCTCAGACATCCATGGCTCAATGAGAATTCATATTTCGGTGATTACAATTGAGAAATTATGAGCAGCCAATTAATATATTAAAAATGAAATATAGCATTAAGAGTGGATATACTGATTTAATTAGCTTTAAGTCTTTTAATAAATTCAAATATTAAATTAATTTCGAAACTTGGAAAAAAATATGACTGAGGAGATTGAGGCTCATGTCCTGAAGAAGTACGAGATATTACAGAAACTCGGTAAGGACCTTCTAATTGATAATAAAATATTTGATAATCTTAATCCAATAAAAATATGTAGGAAAGGGAGCTTATGGTATCGTCTGGAAAGCTATTGATAAAAAAACTAAAGACATAGTTGCACTTAAGAAAAATTTTGACGCATTTTAAAATGCCACAGATGCCTAAAGGACTTTCAGAGAAATTATTTTCCTCCAGGAATTGAACGGACATGAAAACATCATCAGACTGTAAAATGTTATCAGAGCTGAGAATGATAGAGATATCTATTTGGTTTTTGATTTTATGGATACAGATCTTCATGCTGTTATCAGGGCCAACATTTTAGAAGACATTCATAAATAGTATATTATCTATCAAGTATTGAAAAGCTTAAAGTTCATGCATTCAGCTTAACTGTTGCACAGAGATTTGAAGCCAAGTAATCTCCTACTAAACTCTGAATGCCATGTCAAAGTAGCTGATTTCGGACTTGCTCGTTCACTTGATGTTAAGGATCCTGATACTGTTCCTCTTTTAACAGATTATGTCGCTACCAGATGGTATCGTGCTCCGGAAATCCTGCTAGGCTCAAATAAATATACCAAGGGAGTAGACATGTGGAGTATGGGATGTATTTTAGCCGAACTTCTTTTAGGAAAACCTGTATTTCCAGGTACTTCAACTCTGAATCAATTAGACAGAGTAATGGAACTGATTGGTAGACCCTCCCAAGAGGATATTGAAGCTATCGATTGCCCACTTGCTATTACAATGCTTGAGCAACTCCCACCTAGAAAAGCTAAAAGATTCAGAGATGTTTTCCCAACAGCCAGTGATGATGCCCTAGATTTATTGAAAAATTTAATGCAGTTCAATCCTGACAAAAGACTTACAGCTGAATAGGCTCTCAAGCATCCGTATGTTTCTCAATTCCACAATGAAGATGATGAGCCTAACTGCAAAAAGAAGATTAATATTCCAATTGATGACAATTAGAAGTTCTCAATTAGGGAATATAGAAATAAGCTTTATGCAGATATTCATAAAAGAAAGAAGGAGATTAGAAAGAAGATGTTACAATCTCATCATAACCAATATTACAGTGGATCAGCAGGCGGATAGAAATAATACAAATGATTTAACTGCAAATACTCTCAGAGAGGATTTAGCTATTTGTTCATTCTTAATTACCATAATTTTTTAACAAATTAGCTATTGAGGGGTTTTGGGGTTTTGGGGTTTTGGGG